CACAGAGATCTGCCTGCCTCTGCCTCCTGAGTGCTGGGATTAAAGACCTGTGCCACTGTGCCCAGCTAAAACAGGAGATTCTTAAGCCTGGAGAATTCTTGCCTCAATAAGCCAGAGTCAGAGTCAGGATTGTGTGTGTATTTTTCACCTTCCTACAATGAGATTGGATCACCAGCGAGGTTTCAGGACCAAGGACATTGACTGCTTGGGCCCTAGCACTGATCCAGTATAATGGTCAAGAGACAGCACCCCAACACAGTGGCCTCCATGGTTTAGAAAAGCCAGTTCATAATACTACACCCACTACAGTATGAACCTTCTAAATATTTGCTGCAGCCCCTTAACACCAGGGAATTCTTCTACCCCTTGATCGTGTCCAAGGGATAGTTTTCTTCTCTCCTAGGGAGCTCAAGGGTCTGTCCTTGCCCTCTCAGGACATCAGGAGGGTGGTGATCTATTTCCACTACAGAGTCACATGTAAGCTGCAGGCCTGTGTTGAACTCCCATCATCAAAAAAAAGTATGAGGCACAGGGGCTTGGGGTTCAGCTTAGTATGTGTTTGCCTAGCATACATGAAAACCTGGGTCTGAACCACAGTAACACAGTAACCCCGGTATGTTGTCAAATGCTAACTGTCCTTCCAGGACTAAATTCAAGGATCATAAATTCAAGGTCACCTTCAATTACACAGTGAGTTCCATTCTGGGATACTTGATACCCTGTCTTAAAAACAAAAAGGGGAAGGGGAAGAAAAGCCAGGTAGTGGTGGCACACACCTTCAATCCCAGCACTTGGGAGGTAGAGGCAAGCAGATCTCTGTGAGCTCGAGGCCAGCCTGGTCTACAAGAGCTAGAGAAACCCTGTCTTGGAAAAACAAACAAACAAAAAAATGCAGCAGAGTGGTGGTGGGGCACGCCTTTAATCCCAGCATTCCAGAGGCAGAGGCAGGCGGATCTCTGTGAGCTCGAGGCCAGCCTGGTCTCCAGAGCAAGTGCCAGGACAGCCCCCAAAGCTACAGAGAAACCCTGTCTCAAAAAAAAAAAAAAAAAAAAAAAAGTGGGGCTGTGTGGCTTAGTGATTAAAATTGCTTGCCACATAGGTGTGGGGACCACAGTTTGGATCTCCAGAACCCACATAAATGCCAGGTGGGTGTAGCATCCCCCCTGTAATTGCAGCTTTGGAAGGGGGAGTGGGGAGGACCCTTAGTGCAAGCTGGCTAGGAGACTAGCCACCATCAGCAAAATCTGGGTTTGACTGAGAGAATTTGCTTCAATGAATAAAATGCAAGAATGGTGGAGAATTCCTACCATAATCCTGGGCTTCCACAAGCATGCACAAATACATGCAAACCTGCATATACACACACACGCGCGCACGACACACACACACACACACACACACACACACACACACACACACACAGGAAAAAATGGAAAGATTTCCTTAACAAATGCATTGTCCATGAGCTGCCAAGCAACTCTGTACTAAAGGGTAAGCCCCACCCAGTCTGCATAAAGAAGAGACAAAGCCTCACAGCCGGCATAGTGTTCTCAGGCCTTCCCACTCAAAACACACTAGAAATAGTCTCCACCTTCTCCACTTTGCAAGAGTGCATGCTCTACTCACTTTTCTAAAAGCCGATCCTACTCCTGGATGCTACTCAGACTCTACTCCTTCTGGCTTTACCCATTTGAAGAGCTAACCCACTGGGACTGGTACCGTTCCCTAGGCAGGACAGCCTGAAGTGTATGAATGGTAAGTCGGAGAGAATACAGGTGCTAATTCATGGTTTTCTGCTCGTCACATGAATGTGACCAGCTCCTTGACTTAAAGAGCTCGGCATATGGGTCTCTCCGCTCAGGGCGCTGATGGAGACTACCATAGGTGGTGGCTGGCAAGGTGCTCACAAATCAGGGACAAGCCTCGCCTGCTATGACTATTAGACAATAGCGCCTGATGGGGTTGCCTTTCTGTACATATGTTTCCTTATTGGTTAAAGAATAAAGCACTGTTTGGCTAGTGGCCAGGCAGGAAGGATAGGTGGGGCTACCAGACAGAAGAGAATTCTGAGACGTGTAGGCAGAAAGGAGTCCGTGATGTGAACCCAGGGAAGAGAGGACGCACAAGGCATTCTCCGGTAAGCCAAGACCATGTAGAAATACATAAATTAGTAGTTATGGGTTAATAATTAAGACAGAGCTAGCCAATAAGAAGCCCAAACCACCGGCCAACAGTTTCATGAATAATACAGCGTCTGTGTGTTTATTTGGGGCTGACACAGCTGTGGAAAGAGTGCTTGTTACGAGCAGCAGGCTCAGGGTTACCTCGGGTGCTATGTAGTCTGGGGTCCCACAGAATGTTCGCGTTGTGGACCCAGGGAAGACATTCTCTTTACACATGCCAAAGTCTGTGATCTTGATGTGGCCTTCAGCATCCAGCATCACGTTATCCAACTTGAGGTCCCTGGAGGAGAGTACAATGGAGAATTGCACATCAGCGGCGTGACGTCTTGTGCTTCCTGTCAACTTGACGCAATCCACTACCTCCCAAGAAGACAGTCTCAGTGAGGGGTTGTTTAGATCAGGTTGGCCTGTGGACGTGTTTGCAGAGGACCCTTGATTACTTTCTTTGAAGTAAGGCAGACACAGTCTACTGCGGGCGATGCCACTCCCTATGCAGGAAAGCTTATGGGAAACACAAGCTGAGCACTAGCTTCCTGAATTAATTCATTGCGCTCTACTCTTAACTGTGGGTGTTAACAGCCTTGATTTCTCAGTGATGGAAACTGTGAGACAGACCAAACTTTATCTCCCCTTGTTTTGTTTTTTGTTTGTTTGTTTGTTTAGTTGGTTGGTTTTGTTTGGCTACACAAGGTTTCTCTGTGTAGCTTTGGAGGCTGTCCTGGAACTTGCTCTGTAGACCAGGCTGGCCTTGAACTCAAAGATATCTGCCTGCCTCTGCCTCTCCAGTGCTGCGATTAAAGGCGTGTTGCCCGGTGTTCCTTGGTTGTTTTTTAAGTTCAAAAAGTGTGTGTGTGTCCGTGTGTCGGTGTCCAGGTGCCTGGGGCAGGGTGCAAAAGAGAATGTCATGGCCAAAGCGGTGGTGGCTCGCTCTTTTGTTTTGGTTTAGTTTTGGGGTTTTTGTTTGTTTATTTGGTTTGGTTGTTCGAGACAGGGTTTCTCTGTGGCTTTGGAGCCTATCCTGGAACTAGCTCTTGTAGACCAGGCTGGTCTCTTTTGCCTGTAATCTCAGCACTCAGGATGCAGAGGTAAGCGGATCTCTGTGAGTTCGAGGTCAGCCTGGTCTACACAGTGAGTTCCAAGGCAGCCAGGGCTGCACAGAGAAACCCTGTCTCAAAAAAGCAAACAAACAGAAGACGTCACATCTCCTGGAGCTGGAGTTACCTGCAGTTGACTTCGGTCCTCTGCAAGGGCAGCATAGTAACTTAACTGCGGAACAATCTTCCCAGCCCCCTTGTGGTCTACTTTAGAACAGCAACGGTACCCAAAACCCAAGGCAACCAGCAATCAGCGACCCGGAGCTGTGTGCTGAAATCCCATCATCCCCTTCGGGGGACCTATCTCCCCTCGGTGGGAAAGCGCTGGGGCTACTGACCTGTAGATGATGCCCTGGTTGTGAAGGAAGAAGAGGCCGATCGCGATTTCCGCAGCGTAGAATCTGGAGGAGCACGTGGGAAGTTGGAGAATTAATGGCAAGAGCGCCCCTCCCGCCTCCCGCTCCCTGCGCCAGGGCTGAGACTTACGCTGCGTGGGGCTCCTTAAACTTGCCCAGTTGCTGAATGTGGTACATTAAATCGCCTCCGGTCACGTACTCCATCACGAAATAGAGGCGGTCCTGAGGGGGAGTGGGGGTGGCTTAGTGTCAGGGACACAGCACACCTGGACAGAAAAGCTTGTTTGTTTTGTTTTGTTTTGTTTTGGGTTTGGGTTTTCCAGACAGGGTTTCTCTGTGTAGCTTTGGAGCCTATCCTGGAACTCACTCTGGAGACCAGGTTGGCCTCGAGCTCACAGAGATCCTCCTGCCTCTATCTCCCGAGTGCTGGGATTAAAGAACTGTAAAGAACTGGGCCACAACTGCCTTTCTTTCTTTCTTTCTTTTTTTCTTTCTTTCTTTCCTTCCTTCCTTCCTTCCTTTTTTCCTTCCTTCCTTCTTTCTTTCTTCCTTTCTTTCTTTCTAAGACGAGGTCTCCGCCAGCGGTGGTGCACACCTTTGATCTCAGCACTTAGGAGGCAGAAGCAGATGAATCTGTAAGTTTGAGGCCAGCCTGGTCTACAGAGCGAGTTCCAGAATGACTAGGGCTAAAATGGAGAAGTCCTGTATCGAAAACAAACAAACAAACAAGGAAGGGAGGAAGGTCTCGTGTAGCCCAAGCTGGCCTTGAACTCACTGTGTAACTGAGGATAAACTTGACAGACTGTGATCCTCCTGCCTCTGACTTCCAAGTGCTGGGATTACAGGTGTGGTCTGCCACAACCATCTGAGAACAGGCGCTTTCTGTCAGGGGCTGGAGTGAGGCTCGGGGGTTAAGAGCACTGGCTGCCCTTCCAGGGGACCTGGGTTCAATTCCCAGTGATCACATGGTGGCTCACAGAAAGAAAGGGGGAGAGAGAGACAGAGAGAGATGGAGAGAGAGACGGAGGGAGGGAAGAAAGGAAACACAGCTCTTTCCCCTGCCCACCTGGGACAGACATGGAGACCTGCCGATCCACGTGTCCAGCAATGCAGAGGAACTGGACAAACACGCAGGAAGGCTCCGAGACTCTAACCCTGGTAGCTCAGAATCTGCTCAGCCCCATCTGTTCCTCTAATGACCCAACTTTCTAAGAGGCCCAGAGAACGGGAGCGACATCCAGGCACTGACGCTCACGCTACATCAGCACACACATGTAATTCTGGCTGTCTGGACCAAAGGTGATTAGGTTTCATTTGCAGCTATTAGTTTTTGTTTATTGTAGATGGTGTATGCATGTATGTATATGTGTACATGTATGTGTTTGTGTATGTATGTGTGTATGTATATGTGTGCATTTGTGTATATGTGTGCATGTATGCATATGTGTGTGTATGTTTATCTTCAAGTGTATGTATGTTTGCATGTATGTATATGTGTTCATGTATGTAGATGCATGCATGTATATGTTTGCATGTATGCATATGTGTATATGCATGTGTGCATGCATGTATATTTGCATGCATGTATATGTGTGCATACGTGTGTATGTGTGTATGTACATGTGTGTATATGTGTGCATGTATGCATATGTTCAAGTGTATGTATATGTGTGTATGTATATGTATACATATGTGTATGTATATATGTATATGTATATGTATATGTGTATGTATATGTATGTAATGTCTGTGCATGTATGTTTGCATGTATGCATATGTGTGTATGCATGTGTGCATGCATGTGTATGTGTGTATGTACATGTGTGATATGTGTGCGTGTGTGTGTGTGTGTGTGTGTGTGTGTGTGTGTGTGTGTGTGCATGTGTGCACGTATGGGGTCAGAGGACACAGCATGTTCACCTCAGTAGCTCTTTGCCTTACTCTCTTGAGACGCGGTCTGTTAGTGAACCTAGAGTTAGGGTGACAAGTAGAATCCCGGTGACACTGCTTCCGTCCCCACCCCACAGCGCTCGTGTGACAGGTGCTCACGGAGCCGCACCTGGCTTTTCACATGGGTGACGGCAATTCAAACTCAGACCCGCACATGTACACAGCAAGTGTTTCCTCCCCACTAAGCCATCCCCGAGGCCCTGGTTATTACTGACAGGACCTGTGCTGGGGGGCCAGGGTAAGCCCAGGCTCATGGCAATCCTCCTGCCTCGGACT